GTAATGTCTTATATAGACAGGTGTGTGGCTTTGCTAATCAAGTCCAATCAGTATAATCACACACAGCTGGACTCAAATGAAGGTGTGGAACCATCTCAAGGATGATCAGAAGAAATGGACAGCACCTGAGTTAAATATATGAGTGTCACAGCAAAGGGTCTGAATACTTAGGACCATGTGATATTTCAGTTTTTCTTTTTTAATAAATCTGCAAAAATGTCAACAGTTCTGTGTTTTTCTGTCAATATGGGGTGCTGTGTGTACATTAATGAGGAAAAAAATTAACTTAAATGATTTTAGCAAATGGCTGCAATATAACAAAGAGTGAAAAATTTAAGGGGATCTGAATACTTTCCGTACCCACTGTATAAGCAGGGCATTCTTATGTGGTTTCTAAGGTGTTCTAAGTGATTTATAGCATGATACTATGAGGTTTTTAAAGGGGTGGTTCACTGTTTTTTTTTTTCTAGGCTTTATTGTGTTTATGGGGTGCAGTCTAGCATGTGTTAATGCATTTACCTTTATTCCACACCGCTCTGTCCCTTCTCTGAGAAACGGGCTGATCATTTCCTTCTTTTATGAAGCCCCTCCCTCAGAAATAGGCGATGGGCTCTGATTGGGTTGCTAGCCCAGTGTGTTGTGATTGGCTAAACCGCCAATCTAAACGTTTAAACGTCCCACCCCTCACCTCAGCAGCATGTGCTCCAGTTGTATTGTAAACAACGGCATCGTTAATATCGCTTATCAGTTTGAGCCCGATTGAGAAGCAGAGGATATTATTAAAGAGGATCGTGCAGAACCTGTGCAAGCATGGCTTTTAATGGTAGGCCTATGTTTTTTCATATTCTGTTACACCAAATACACAAAATAATGATCTTTAAAAAAGCATCATATGACCCCTTTAAGAACCGCTGCTTTAGAACATTGATTTTGAAACTTGTGAATCCATTAGAATCATTAGAAGACAGAATCGCAATTCATATATGACTAGATTTTTACGTGCACCTCTAGTTTTCTCTTCCTCTTCTCTAAAGCAGCGCAGCATGGCCTCGCCCCCTTTGCTGCCTTTTCCCGAGGGCGGGGTTTATCTGGGTTTGTGATGTCACGAACCCGGGAAGTAACTTGTAGTCCCTACCAGCTGTTTTTTGTAGGCATTAAACTGCCAGAATTTTAAAAGACAATATCTCTGTTTGCATTGAACTTTCAGCTTCGTAACTTTGCAGATATTGTTTATGCTCAAACAGCAACATTAGACACTAACTAACGTTAAAAAAGTGAAATTGCAATGAACCACCCCTTTAAGTACATTTTGAATGGTTACTGGCCCAAGTCTAAAGAGTGTAACTAGGTCTGCATGATAGGGGGAAATGTTTCAGATTAGGGCTGCACGATATATCGAAATACCGCAAATGCAAATATCACAATATGCATATCGCAAGGGCGTGCGATATCTGAATCATTTTAATAATAGGCTACTTAAATCAAAATGTTGCAAAAGGTCAAAGTTTTAGTTCGACGCATTTAGCAGAGAATTGCTTGACGTTAAAAAGAGTTAAGTGCAGTAAGTTGCCGAAAACGGCTCTTTGCCGTCTCGTCTTGCTGTCTGACTCACACCACAAGCCGCATCTCGCACAGCGTCTCTTCAGTTCTGTGCGCGCGCGCACAGAGAGAGAGACGCGTTTCAGATGGCGTGCGAACACCAAGTTGATTCGTCTTTTGCATCTCCTCATGTTTGAACAGACACATACAGACCCGTCTCGACGATCATTATCGTAAACGCAGTCGGTTATGTTTTAAATGAATGTAAACAGCTGAGAAAGAAATCGGATGTGTATCATTATACTGGATCCGTGCAGTCGGATTTAAAGGGACAGCAGCCTATAAATACGTGCTGGTGAATATGTCACTAATGTTAACAAAACCGCTATAACAAAGATTAATCTAAATTAAATTCATACAGTGAACACTATGCAGTGTTATTTTACACTTAATTATTAAATGTATGTACCTGAATACTACTGTTTATATTATCTGTGCTTGTAAATTGTGTATTTCTTTTTTTTTCTTTTTCTCAGACTATAGTTTTTGCTGTGGTATATGAAGAAGTAGTTAAAGTGTATGGAAAGCAAAGTTACAATGAAATAAAATTAGTGTCATTTAATTTTATTTTTTTTGTATTTTCACACTGATGTTAAAATTACTTTTTCTGATTTGTGACATTACTTTTTATGTAATGCTAAAACACTGCTGGTCACTTTCAGAAAGAATGTGAAACAAATTGGTTATATAATTTTCATTTTTAAATATTTTAAAATATAATTGAAATTGATTTTACACACTTTAAGCAATATCGTATCGCATATCGCATTTTTTAACAAGGTATCGCATATCGCATTTTTCTTCAATATCGCACAGTCCTATTTCAGATCTTTCAGAAAAATTTGTAAAAGTTGGTTTTAAAATTTTTCTGATGTTTTATTTTGGGGAGTGGGTTTATAAATGCTTCTCATTACAAATCTGATGAAATGGGCTGTGCATGTTCTAGTGCTGGGCGGTATGACCACAAATTGATATCACGGTATTTTTCAAAATTATACCGGTTTCACTGTACATGACGGTATTTTTTTTTTCATGCATGACCGGTTGTTAACCATATTTTGTACTGATTGAGAGAGGAAATACTGCAGTATATTGACTTAGAATGCCCTATTTTAATGTCATGAGTGAATATTGTCAAAAAATACCACACTAAATAGTGACTAAACACGACTCCTTTTAATACATGTTAACCAGGAGTCACTCTCATGTATAATCGCGGCATCGTCTGATAAAATCAACATGCATCTACAATAAAGACCGGCTATGTGGTTGTTTTGGCTATATTCGTTTTTTGTCTGAGTAACAAACTAAAAAAAACAACAAACAAAAATGTGCATGTGATATTAACAGACAAACTACGCTCATATTTATAATTCCAAACAATCAGTAAGCAACAGGTGCTAGGAAATGCTGTTTTGTACTCATTTATTGACGAACCGGCTGCGGTGCGGCCAACTGAATGAGCTGCTTCTCTGCCACTCACTGCACAGAACAGATGCAGAGAGAGGTGACACTTCTCTGGGAAAGGCAGACCTCGCTTTCGCGGGACGGCACTGGCAGAATCTTCCAACTGAACCATAGATAAGGTTTATCCAAAAAAGTCGCTATAGGTTTGTCAGTATGAATATTCTATGGAAAAAAAGCAGCTAAAAGGATCTGAAAGTTGCTAAATCTAGTGCCATTCCCAAATGCACGAATAAGTAAACCAAGCCCAGAGCAGATGCAGAGATAGAGTTTGTGTAAAGCAGTATTAACTGTGAACCGCTCGCGACACACTAAAAACCCCAGATCATGAGCTGCCTGCATGTAAATGAAACACTCTACACATTTATTCAGTTGAGTCACACATTGCTTTTGCAATGTGATAATCGCATTAAGACAAATTTCAGTTTTATTTCAATTAACCATTCAGCTCTCTGGTCTCCTTAAAGTGTATGGGATTTTTGCCTGTTTCAATGTATGCCAAAAGAAAATCATAAATCTGGTCCCTTAGTAATAGCCCCTAACTCCTCAAGCCACATGATTTGAGGTGCCGTTCGTGTCTGTAGCACAAACTGCTAAAAAAAAATCATGAATGAAGTTTAATACTTTAGAGTTAGGGTTAGATCGTTAGATAAAGTCTGTGAATAAAAATGTGTTATATGAGTGAGATTTTAAATAAAAATATAATGTGTATAAATTTCATATGAATGAAAGTATATTTTTAAATATATATAAACTTTCCTGGAAAACTCTGCTCTCTCTTTTCCAGGTGTGGCTCTCTGTCTGGAGCTGCTACTGACCTCAGCCCTGCTGTCATGGCCTCAGCCCTCACACCATGCAGAAAGCACCCCTCCTAACCCTCATACCTCACACATCACCACACACACGCACAGCCATGATGACCACCTCCCACATGAACGGATATGTGACCGAGTCGGACGGTGGGGGAGGGAGCGGCGGAGGCACTGACTTTCTGGAGGAGGTGGTGCAGAGACACAGGGAGATGGCTGTGGACTGCCCCAGTGAACTGGGTAATGTCATCAGCTTTCCGGGTAAATGATTCAGAGGTATGTACTGTTGTTCCTCTGTGAAGTTACTGTTTCTTCTGGTTTTACAGACAGGGTGTTTTTGAGATACACGAGTGATCTGCAAGCATACTTATGGTTTGTGTTTGTGCTTTCAGAGCTGGAGGACCTGTTGATGTCCCTCAAGCAGGTGCAGCATAGTTTGAATGACTCTCAGAGTCAAGAGGACATAGAGCTGGTTCTACAGCTGGTCCAGAAGTCAGACTTCCAGAAAGCCTTCAACATTCACAACGCCGTGGCCCACTATATGAACCGGCCCAGCCCTCCCTATCCCCTGACAGACCACACACAGAGCCTCGCACAAGAGGTGAGCGGCACTTGTTACATATGTGGATTGAGTAAAAGATGAACAGGAAACATGCATGGATAGTAAAGTTCACATTACTGAAGTAATTAATTATAGTTAACACACCCCACCCAGCTCTTTTCTCTGAAGAAAAAAAATTATGATATGAAACAACTTCACTTCTGAAGTTCCATATTACCAACATACCTATTGTCACCAGTGGTGGACAGTAACAGAGTAGTTTTACTTCGTTACTGTACTTAAGTACATTTTTCAAGTATCTGTACTTCACTGGAGTAGTTTTATTTTGAGTAACTTTTACTTCACTAAATTCCAAAGCATAAGATCGTACATTTTACTTCACTACATTTCATAAAACATATCGTTACTCCTTATGATATATGACGTGCTCTGACACACGCAGAAGTGGTGTCTAATTCAAGAACGAACTGATTCTTTTCAATGAACCTTTTAAATCGGTTCGCAAATCGCACCAAACAATTCATTCACGAATTAGAATGAACCGATTGCAGCTGTTCTCGGGTCCACAACTCACTGATTCAAATGAACGGTTTAGTGCGAGTCTCCAGTGAACTGAATTCACAAGTAAGAACCGGGAGATCTTGTGAGCGCACGCGCGACTGATGCTGCTAAAAGTAAGTTACTAATGTCGAATTTTAGGATTAATTATTGTAACTGAAAATCATATTTAGGTCAGTTTAATGTCGTTGGTGAGGAGGAAAGCCTGTGTGTGTCCTATGCCTTAGCAGACAGATTTTTATTATAGGTTTAAAGGGGGGCGCGACCAAAAAATTTGAGAACCACTGGTCTAAAGTTAACAAACAGTGTTTAAAAAGTGCAGTGCACATGTTTACATATGTTTATTACAGTGACTTTGAATTACCTAAAGTAGTGTGGTAAAGCAACAGATTTGTTTTTATATTTCTGCAATCTACTTTAGTTTCAACAATTCTGTGTTTTTCTGTCAATATGGGGTGCTGTGTGTACATTAATGAGGAAAAAAAATTAACTTAAATGATTTTAGCAAATGGCTGCAATATAACAAAGAGTGAAAAATTTAAGGGGGTCTGAATACTTTCCGTACCCACTGTATATATTAGTACTTTAGTACTTTTAGTCATTTATATTTATTTTAGTAATAATGTTTCACAATATTACTGTTTTACTATATTTTGGTTCAAATAAATGCTTTGGTAAGCATACAAGACTTGTTTCAAAAACCTGAAAAAACTTCCTAGTCCTAAACGTTTGATTGGTAGTGTATATCATAAAATTGAAATGCATTTTGTCAGAGGTATTCAAGTCAAATCAAGCTCTTTCTACTACTATACTTTAAGGCATAATAAATGTAGTAGTGTTGTATTGCTATAATGACTTGATGTTGTTGAATCTGTCATCACAGGTGGAGGTCATGATGCACAACAGCTCGCAGAAGGAAGGACTTGAGCTAAGCACCCTGCTCAAAACTCCTCACATGCAGGTCTGTTTACATCACATGCACACACATCCCCCAATTCCCCCATGTCTCCTCTATGTTGCTGTGCCGATGCCCACAGCTGTGATCGCAATCCCTGTCTCAGAGCCTGAGCTCTTTTGAACTCTATAACATGACGTTGAGGTCAGACTCATGTCTACTCTGTAGAACTCAGTGGCTTTCATCCTGAATATAACCCATCATCTCTGGCTCTCCATATCCTCCAGGCACTTATGATGGCCCATGACAGTGTGGCTGAACAGGAGATGCAGCTGGAGCCTCTTGTTCCTTCTGTCAATCAAAGTGAGACTCTCACCCAGTGGGGCGGGGAGACTGTCAAATTCGTGCGGCTTGAGAAAGCAAAGGACATTCCATTGGTGAGGACGTTCTTTCATTGCTTTTCCCCAGAATATTATGCACTTCTTGATATTTGACCTGTATTTTAACTTAATGCGCACGTGTATTTATGCAGGGAGCGACTGTTAGAAACGATATGGATAGTGTGGTCATCAGCCGCATTGTGAAAGGAGGAGCGGCAGAACACAGTGGCCTCCTGCATGAAGGAGATGAGATCTTGGAGATCAACGGTGTGGAAATCCGTGGCAAAGATGTCAACGAGGTCTTCGACATCCTGGTAATTAATTTTAAAGAAAGATGAGAGGAAGAAGTGTGTTAGGTTTTTGATTATAAAACGCGTTTGTAAGTACTGATTGAAGGATCCAAAAACATTCTTAGGCCACTGAACACTGAATGTTGTTGTTTTTTTCATGTTCACAGGCAGACATGCATGGCGTACTGACTTTTGTTCTCATTCCCAACGCGCAGACCAAACCACCTCCTGTTAAAGAGACTGTGGTGAGGCCTTCAGTCAGAACTAGATTATAAAAGTAATAATAAATAAAAGCAATCAATGATCAAACCCATATCCTTGCATTCACCCAGATGCATGTGAAGGCACATTTTGACTACGACCCCTCAGATGACCCCTACGTTCCGTGTCGAGAGCTCGGCCTGTGCTTTCAGAAGGGAGATATCCTCCACATAATCAGTCAAGATGACCCTAACTGGTGGCAAGCCTACAGAGATGGGGATGAAGACAACCAGCCACTTGCTGGCCTGGTCCCTGGTACCGTATCTCACGTGCTATTCTGTGGATCCAGATTTGTGTTTAAATATTTCTGCCTAGTTTTATTTTACATTGACTTGCATGTCTTTTTCTTACTGATTGTCCAGGCAAAAATTTCCAGCAGCAGAGAGAGGCAATGAAACAAACCATAGAGGAGGATAAAGAGCCTGAGAAATCAGGTTAGGGTCGCAGAACTCGTGCACACTCTTAAGCGCATACATGCGCAGTAGTTCTCATTAACACTCATCTTATTTTGACAGGAAAACTTTGGTGTGCTAAAAAAAACAAGAAGAAGCGAAAGAAGATGCAATACAATGCTAATAAAAATGATGGTGAGTCTCTTCAGACAAACACTGGAATGAAAATGTACCTG